TCACGCTCGCTCGCTCGCTACGGCAGCAATTACATCATGGGTGACAAGAACGCTTCCAAGCGCGGTGCGCAAAGTTTAAATAATTCGTTGTCAAATACGCCCAATAAACCAGTTCGTTCGAAAATACCAAAACCGAACGACTGTAAGGAAGGAAAGAAGGAAGAAAATAGCACTGAAATACAGGCTATGTTCCAACATATCATGGACAAGCTTGGTAAGCTTGACGTCATAGACAGTCGTGTTCAGTCTGTAGAGCACGAACTAAAAGAGATGAAAAAATCACTCGATTTTGTGCACGAAGAGGTCGAAGACCTAAAGAAAGAAAATGCTAAATTGAAGAAGTCGGATGGAGAGACGCAAGAAAGGTTGGCGACCTTAGAAAAGCAGAATGATATGATGAAAAATCGTCTCATTGACCTTCAAACAAGGTCAATGCGAGACAATCTCATATTTTATCTCTGATTTTATAATGTCGAAGAAAAAGAAGAGGAAAATACAACACAATTAATTCACAGTATTCTCGAAAGTCATCTTGAAATACAAGACGCAAAGTTGATTAAGCTAGATCGAAGTCACAGAATGGGAAAGAAACAGCAAGGAAAAACACGTGCCATTGTGGCAAAGTTTAATTATTTCCCCGACAAAGTGCGGGTTTTAGCCATCGCCAAAAAATTGAAAGATACTGGAATAGCAATCTCGGAGCAGTTCCCGGAGGAGATTGTCAACATCAGAAAGAAGCTCATGCCAGTATTTAAGAAGGCAAGGGCAGAAGGTAAAAAAGTGAAGATGGTGAGAGAGAAATTATATATAAATGGACAGCTTTATAGACATACAAATTCGCAGGATTAATAGGTAGCGCATATATATCATATCTCAAAACACAACTGTCAATTATCTATATAAGCATGCACGCATATTATTATCTTTAGTTATCTTTACTAGCACATCATGACACAACAACCTTCAGTAAATGTGTGTGATCAAAATAATTTTCCCTTTCACTGCCTTTCTAACAATGAATTTACAACGTTAAATTCCCCAAACAAATTAAATCAGAGTGATATGGATAGACTAAGCCAATTAAAATTCAATCCTTTTCAATTCAATAAGAATATTGCGCTATCCGGTAATAATATAAATCTTGACACATCCTTCAATACAAATACTATAAATTGCGATTATTACTTACCAAATGAATTCAAAAATAAAACAAAACATGTAATTGGAGAAGAAAAATTCTCGTTAATACATTTAAACATAAGAAGCATAGCAAACAAATTTGACTCCTTTAAAAATTTGATTGATACTTTAGGTATACCTTTCCAGATAATAGGTCTAACCGAGACATGGCTGAATGAAAATAACCTGGATTGTTTTTCCTTGAAAGGTTATGAGTACATCGGTTCTAACAGACCAAAAAAACGGGGCGGTGGTGTTGGTATATATGTTACAAAACAACTTAAGTATAAAAGTCGAATTGATCTGACAAGGAACCTTGAAGATATAATTGAAACAAAGTTCATTGAAGTAACAAACAATAATGGCAAACATTTCATCATTGGGGTAATTTATAGACCCCCAAATAGTAATTTTGACACATTTAAAAACACAATGAATACAATTCTAGAAAAGATTGACAGAGAGAATAAGATTTGTTATCTAATGGGAGACTTTAACATTGACCTTTTCAAATCAGAATCTTGTGGTTATGCAAATCAATTTATTGAACAATTATTTACCTCTTCATTTTTACCTCTAATTACTAAAGCAACTAGAATTACTTATCATACTGCCACGTTAATTGACAATATCTTCACAAATAATATAGAAGAATTTGATAACAGTATGAATGGTATTATTTTTAGCGATATCTCAGACCACTTACCAATAGTACATATGTTAAATACAAGCATATTGAAAAAAGCACAAAGGAAAATACAAATACTGTAACATATCAAAGAATATTCAATAAAGCAAACATAGAAACTTTTACAAAAGCAATCAAAGACCTTTCCTGGAATAAAATATTAAATGAAACGAATGACCCTGAAAAGGCATATAATCAATTTTTTAAATCGTTTACAGATGTATATGAAGCAATTTTTCCATTAAAAATACAAAAACCCGATATAAAAATAAATAAAACCAAAAGTCCGTGGATAACAAACTGTATACTGAAATCTGTTAAAACGAAAAACAAGCTATATAAAGCCTTTCTTATGAATCCAAGTAATAAAAATGAACAAACATACAAAAAATATAAAAATAAATTAAACCATATTATAAAAATAGCAAAGAAAACACATTACGAAGAGCAGTTAATTAAACACAAACAAAATTCAAGAATGATCTGGAAAACCCTTAATGAACTACTTAACAAAAATAAAAGAAATACCAAAATATCAAAAACCTTTGTTGAAAGCAGCTCATTAAATATAATAGATGATCCAAAAAGAATTGCAAATAATTTTAATGACTACTTTATTAACATCGGGCCGAATCTAGCAAATAAAATCAAACAGAATGATAATAATAGTTTTCATAAATATCTTACAGGTAATCATCAATCTAGTTTCTTTCTTAATCCTATCACGGAACATGAGCTTGAAACAGAACTGAAAAAAATGAAGTCAAACAAAAGTTTTGGATATGATGGAATTAGTACTAACATTGCCAAAATAATTGCTAAAGAAAATATAAAAATAAATTAAACCATATTATAAAAATAGCAAAGAAAACCCATTACGAAGAGCAGTTAATTAAACACAAACAAAATTCAAGAATGATCTGGAAAACCCTTAATGAACTACTTAACAAAAATAAAAGAAGTATCAAAATATCAAAAACCTTTGTTGAAAGCAGCTCATTAAATATAATAGATGATCCAAAAAGAATTGCAAATAATTTTAATGACTACTTTATTAACATCGGGCCGAATCTAGCAAATAAAATCAAACAGAATGATAATAATAGTTTTCATAAATATCTTACAGGTAATCATCAATCTAGTTTCTTTCTTAATCCTATCACGGAACATGAGCTTGAAACAGAACTGAAAAAAATGAAGTCAAACAAAAGTTTTGGATATGATGGAATTAGTACTAACATTGCCAAAATAATTGCTAAAGAAATATCTAAGCCACTAGCACACATTTTTAACCTAACATTTACATTTGGAAGTATTCCAGACAAATTAAAAGTTGCTTTAGTTACTCCAATATTTAAGGGAAATGATGACAATAAATTTGAGAACTACAGACCAATATCTGTGCTTAATTGCTTTTCTAAATTACTAGAAAAACTTATGATTAAAAGATTAACAAAGTTTATTGATAAAAACAACATATTATCAAAACACCAATATGGATTCAGAAAAAACAGATCAACAGAACTGGCTATACTTGACTTTGTTAACAAAATAACTAAAGCAATTGATGAAGGAAAATTCACAATTGGTATTTTCCTTGATTTATCTAAGGCCTTTGATACGATTAATCACAAGATTCTGATGAGCAAACTAGAACATTATGGTATAAGAGGAGTAGCCAAAAATTGGTTCGAAAATTATTTACAGAATAGAAAACAAATTGTAAAATATAATGGGATACAGTCTGACGAAATGACTATCAAAAGTGGGGTTCCTCAGGGGTCAGTATTAGGTCCTTTATTATTTCTTTTATATATAAATGATATACAAAGTTGCAGTGAACTAATTTCAATTATATTATTCGCGGATGACACAAATATACTTTATAGTCACTCTTGTCTTAAAACTTTAAATGAAATTATTCAAATTGAAATTAACAAAATTTCTGACTGGCTAAGTGTCAACAAACTTTCTATCAATATTACAAAAACCAAATTTGTTCTTTTTAGATCAAAAAATAAAAAATCTAAACACAATGTTAAAATTTCTTTAAATAATGAGGCCATAAAACAAGCCAAGAGTATCACATTTTTAGGAATTGTTATTGATGAATTTTTAACATGGTGTTATCATCTAGATTTAATAGCAAAGAAAATGATCAGATGTGCAGCTATTATTTCCAGAATTCGGCATTTTACAAACTTAAATTCTCTAAAACTCATTTACTACGCATTGGTCTATCCATATCTAATCTATGGTAACCTCATTTGGGGTAATACGTACAAATCTCGTATTTCAAAGTTAATGAACATTCAAAAAAAAATTGTAAGATTAATGACTTTTAAGAATTATACTAATCACACTGAACCCATTTTTTTAGAATTGCAAATACTTAACATATACACAATAAATGATTATTTAACAAGTATTTTTATGTTCAGGTATTTCAATCTTCAAAATTTACCAGAAACATTCACAAATTATTTTTCTACCAATAAGGAAATCCATAACTACAATACACGAAACTCATCATTATTACACAAAAAGTGTAGCAGAACAAATTATACAAAACATACTCTAACTAATAAAGGAATTGATATATGGAATAATCTTCCTTCGAAATATAAAGAAAATAGATCGTATG